AAGTGAAAATGGATGTTAATTAACATAGTGAAAAATGAACTGCACTCTTGAATGTAAAATTCTAATTAATATTAATTAAATGAATGTGAATACTAATTTATTGAGAATTAATACGTCATCCGTCCAATTTATATAGGCTTGTTTTATTTTTCACACTGATTAAAAAATCATATTTAATATCATTGAAAAAGCAATTTTTGTCAAAAAAATTTCTAGTTTACCCTTATTTATATTTGTACAATTTTAAGATTAAGTGAGGGACATTAACTATAATTAGACAAATTAAGTAAGTGTATATTAGTAAACAAACAAAACAAAACGTTCTCAATAAAGAAACAAAACTATATAATTGGAACAAGAAAATAAGGAAAATCAACCTATATAAATGGGACAGAGGGAATAATAGGGACATGGACGTGAATTTGAATGTGAAATACTAATTAAATGAATGTGAATATTAATTAATTGAAAATTGATTGTAGAGAATACGTGCATGAACAATAAAATTTTAATATTTTTTACAGTATGTAAATTAAATAAATATTGAAAAACAAAAAAGTTTTATATTATTGAAATAATTTAATTGTAGTGGGACCAGGGGCGGACCCACATGGGGTCAAATGACCCCACAGTTTTCTGGAATTTTTTTTTTTTTGCTGAAAACTTAATTTTCTACCCCAAAAAGTCCAAATCCTAAATCTATATCCATATCACATGGTCCATATCCATTATTTAGTCTATAAATATATCATATAATTCACCGATTTCGTTCTAAAGTGCAAATATCGTACATGAACAGCAAACGATCGATTTTTCCTTTTTGTTCATGATACATTGTTCAAAAAAAAAAATTTTGACCCTACAGTTCGAACGGTCTGGGTCCGCCCCTGAGTGGGACTATACTTGTCCAAAAATAATCCACACTTGATGTGATATTTAATATATTAGAAATATGCTCCCAACCATAACATAACAATGTTGATATACTTTTCAAAACTCAGCAGCCATTCTAATATGTTATATACTGTTACATGGCAACTAATTGATAAGTGTTAGTAGGGAAATCGAACTTGTGACCAAAGGTCTTCGTACTCACCTATCCCACCAACTCGACCACCCAACACTTATAATGCATGCAATCCTTAGAGCACATATCATCAAACTTAAAAGCAGATGATCAAATGAATCAACAACATTATTAGTTTGAGCAT